AGGAAACACAAAAGGCTTTCTCTCAAAACCGACCTTCGGCAACCCTAAGCACGCTTAATAGTAAATTATACGAGATTTTTGATTCTGAAAATGTCTTTGATGCTTGAAAAACCGGCTCTAGGTAACTTAGCAGTTTTGGTTTGAGACAGTTATACTTTCATACCTATAAACATTTGCAAATCAGCTGACCAGTACACTGTAAAATCATTCAAACCTTACCTTACTTCTCACTTCAGCTGATAAACCATATGCAGGGCCCTTGTTGAACTGAGTCATTGTGTTTTATTTCACGTCGCACCAAGAAATGATCAGAAATCTCACGATTTCTTACTTGGCTTCCCTTGTTCGAGAAAAGATCTTTTGCACAACTTTAAAAAAGCAACAAATACGTGAGTTTAGGCTAGTCAAAAATGACTGCCGATTTGTCCCAGCTGAGCGGATGCACTAAACTCTCTCTGCTCAGCAAAGTAATTAAAGAAGAGCAGAAGGTCTTGCAGCTGAGCGTAAGGGAGTTTACGAAATCTACTACGGTGAAGGCTTGAGTTGGGAATATTAATCAGTTTGCGTGACGCAACATAGTGTCGCTTCCTGATTGGCTGAAACGTAGAGGTTGGTTTGTGGCGCTTGTGAAATGGCTACGGTGAAAGTTTTTAGCTCATAAAAATTAAAAGGTTTGCATGCTGGATGATATCGGGCTGATTTTGTCGAAAGCATCTTGAGCAAAGTTGATCGTAGAGAGGCCATTGGTGACAATCGGTGACAATGGTTTTTGGAAACGCAGGCCAGAACGCCACGCCCGGTGAACGCTACAAAACGCCAGCAGATTATAAATATTTAAATATTTACGTGATCTTTTTTATTATTAATAATAGTAGGCTATAATGTATTGTTTTAAAATGTCTAATATTAAAACATAAATAGGCCTACAAAATACAAATCAATTATGTATAATGCAGGCCTAAATAGCTAGAAAAGTGTTTAAAAATACCTTTGAGCAAAACAATAGACGATTTCATTGTTCATTTATTTACTGATTGCATATTTAGACTGCTTGTGGTTATAGGACATCCTACTCCTACATCTGGAGTTCAGCCCCCCATCATGTGTTTCCTGAGCCTGCTATCAGGAGACACTATTGTCCAGGAACCACCAATGAAGAGTGAATGCCAATAAGGCCATCCCAGATATAAAGAGATTTCTCTCACTTTTTGAATTCCTCCTTGGAATGTTTGGGTTCAGCATTCAATGGCATGTTGTGTTATGCTATAATTAGCCTACCTTTTTTTATCATCATCAGAAGTCTATCACTTCTGAAGATTAAATATGCCATATCATTATAGAAAATGGTTTTCAGCCCCCTGATTTATAATCAAAATAGAAAGTACCATTGTGCCTAGACATTAATTAAGGACAAGACGAAACTTGCATTCTAATGATATAGGCCTAGTGGGCGCGTGTTTTGCCCATCACTATAGTGATGAAACCGTCGGAAAACAAGGTGTGTTTGCCATTGTAAGATATTGTTCCCAGACTTTGTTTAAGACAGGAAAAACACAAGACCCACCACAGTGGATAACCCTGTGTACATTTTAACATCAGTACTTTGGCTTATGAGTTTGTCCCATTTAGATCAGTAACATAGCATTTTAAGGCAATTTCTGCCATAAAGTAATGCTTTGGTAAATCATAATTCTGATATAAAAAGGCAGTTATGTATATTATTTTCCACTTTTATATCATAAATTTGACTTTTATGTCAGAATTATGATTTACCAAAGCATTATTTTCTGGCAGAAATTGCCTTAAACTTTACTTATAAAATGTTTAAACTACTTAAATTCCAAGTTTATTTTCCTTTATCATGCATGTTTGCAGTCTTCCTGTAAACCAGCAGGTTACCCATGAATATTTCACTCAACAAGACGTGAAAAGGAATGTTTAGTCAGCAACAGAATTTCCCCCTTTTCCGTCTCCAGTAAACCTGTTTTGCGTATTAATTTCAGCCAGCATCTACAGCATAGTTTGCTATGTAAGTTTCCACTATTCTGTTATATAACAGAGCTAATAAAGTAAAAATGTATAGGCCACATTTGGGCACAACATCACTTTAATTTTCCATGAGCAGAACTCTTCTGGGGCGAACGGTTCATCAAACAGGAATGCCTTGTTGCTCCATCCCTGAGGCACAGCATGCAGAGGGACTCAACAACAACAACAACAACAACTGTGCTTTAGAGGGGTATGGGAAGTTATTACCTGAAGATGCAGGGCAAGACTAACTGCCATTATGGCTCTAAATACAAGAAGACTCAGTTTTACCATTGGAGTGATTTGGGTTTATTTTGTTTAGAGGTTAACACTGATAAGTTAGGGTCGAGGATTCAGGAAATTGAGGACGACAGGGCAGCCCTTGCTAAATACATTCATTCATTCATTAACCAATAGTGTCACTGTTCGGATAGTACCATCCTGGTCTAACACTTGAAGCTCATTTGCTTTCATGAGGAGAAAAAAGTTGGATGCCTCGCTCCATCTAGTGGTTCCTCTATGCAATGAAGTTCATTTAGGATAGATATAAAATTACACTGGACAACTGCATCGAAGAGAAAGCACTTGCTGAGTGAATATGGGGGATAGAGAGAGAGAGAAGGTCACATAAACCCTGCGTTTATCCCCGTGTCCAGCTGTGTTCACCTCATGAACATGCTCCATGGCCAGTTCAACATGGGTCTATCATAACGGAAAGGGTAAGTCTGATCATCCATTATGTTGACTTCATTTAATCTTTTAGTCACCAAAAAGGACTGCTAGAGAAAATGAATTGCAAAAGAAAGTGATTGAATGACTGAACCGAAGAATCCGACACAGAAAATGAGAAAGACATGATAACCTACAGCATTTTGTTTCCTGATGATTTAGCTGTTTTTGGTGGGTTTTACTCTTACTATGTGTTCAGTGCACTTACACACATTATTCTCTGCATTTCTCCTCTTTAATTGTTCCTTCATTTCTCATATAAACCTGGCATTGTTTATTATACTGTCTGCTCCTTGGTTTTATTCTTCTTTTGCAAGTTGCTTTGGATAAAACAATCTCCTAAATGCATAAATGTTCATTTGAGACAAGGTCATGCCAGCTTGACTTCCTCCTAGGCTACTATCAATTACCAAAAAAAAAACACTGAAGCTTGATGCCTTTTTCAAGGGTTTCAACGCTTTCAAGGGTAACGCTTTTTCAAACGCATTGATTTCCAGCTGTTTCATTTCGATCGCTGTCCATACTGCAGAGTAACATGTACACGCCCCCCTCAGCCAGGACAGAAGTTTGTGTGTATGCAGCACAAACCCAACACACAATCAGCTGTTTCTTTTGGGACACCAGGATCTCTGCGACTCGAATGCATTTCAGACTGCACTAAAGTCACTCGTGGCTCTATAAATCACGGATGGAGCAATCTGAGACGTGTTGGAGTCGCCTGACCTCTTGATGTCTGTGTCAGCACATATGCAAATGCTTATACCGGGGGATTTGGCAGGAGAGAGGTACTGCGGCAGCTCAGGTGATGACTGGGGCTTTTATGTTCGCAACCGGTCTGGAGTAAGAAACATTTTGTTTTGTTAAAGAGGTGGATGATTAATGTGTGTTGGACTGGGGTTTTGCTGACCGTTCGCCGCTCTCTCTCTCTAGGGCTCAGCAGGCATGGAGCCTCTCAGCCTGCAGGTGCTGGTGGTTGTAACATGGAGCTTCCTGGGCTTCCAGTGGCTGTTCTATAGAGGTAGCCCTTGGGTGTCTCAGCACCTCTCCAAAGGCTTCCTCAGGCTCAGCCCCACACAAAAGACGGAGTGGAACTCCAGGTGTCAGATTTGGTCTTTTAAAAGCATGTGTTTTTATATCGCGAGTTTGACTAAAGTTGGAAGGTCTCTGTTTTTCCTCAAAGGGCCGTCTCAACAGTGCATGCCCTGATTGTGGGACTTTTCTGCCTCTACATATATATCTTTGATGAACCTATCCAGAAAGACCCAGTCTGGTGAGGATCTATAGATCTAATCCATTACAAATGTGGTGGCACAACTTCTTATGTAACATTGTTCTGTCCAAACAGTACAGTCTGAACACTCAAACCTCTAATAATTTGTGATTACAGGGGAGATGCCACACTGGTGAAACTAAATGTGGCCATTACATCAGGCTACCTCATCTCTGGTGAGTGAAGAGTTAATGATGTGCTATATCTACACTCACCTATAGGATTATTAGCAACACCTGTTAAATTTTCTCATTAATGCAATTATATAATCAAACAATCATATGGCAGTTGCTTCAAGGGGATGCATTTAGGGGCGTGGACCTGGTCAAGACAATCTCCTGAACTCCAAACTGTATGTCAATTTTGAGCATGGCATGGTTGTTGGTGCCAGACGGGCCGGTCTGAGTATTTCACAGCTGTTTGCTCGGTCACTGGGATTTTCATGCACAACCATTTCTAGGGTTTACAAAGAATGGTGTGAAAAGGGAAAAACATCCAGTATGCGGCAGTCCTGTGGGAAAAATGCCTTGTTGATGCTAGAGGTCAGAGGAGAATGGGCCGACTGATAGAAGAGCAACTTTGACTGAAATAACCACTCGTTACAACCGAGGTATGCAGCAAAGCATTTGTGAAGCCACAACACGCACAACCTTGAGGCGGATGGGCTACAACAGCAGAAGACCCCACCGGGTACCACTCATCTCCACTACAAATAGGAAAAAGAGGCTACAATTTGCAAGAGCTCACCAAAATTGGACAGTTGAAGACTGGAAAAATGTTGCCTGGTCTGATGAGTCTCGATTTCTGTTGAGACATTCAGATGGTAGAGTCAGAATTTGGCGTAAACAGAATGAGAACATGGATCCATCATGCCTTGTTACCACTGTGCAGGCTGGTGGTCGTGGTGTAATGGTGTGGGGGATGTTTTCTTGCCACAAATCTCTCACAAATAACATTCTCTGTTCCTCTTCAGATCTCCTGCTCATGTTTACATCATGGGAGTCAATTGGAGAGAAATACTTTGTCATTCATCATTTTGCTGCTCTCTATGCATACTACTATGTGCTGGTAAGTTGTGTTTCCAGCCGGTTTGGTCTGGTGTCTCTAACTTCCACAAGATTTCCAATACCATTTTGTGCTTTTCCTTTTTCTGTAGAGTCAAGGGATATTGCCTTACTTCGCTAATTTCCGTCTGCTCTCAGAATTCTCCACCCCCTTTGTCAACCAGCGGTGAGTAATAAGTAAAAATAACCATACAATGAAGCACATTTTCTAATCGACTTTTTTTTTAACCTCTTTCAGTTGGTTTTTTCACGTGTTGGGCTACCACAAACTTTCCAAACCGAGTTTGGTTAATGGTGTTGCCATGGCATTTGCATTCTTCTTGGTGAGGATCGCAGTCATTCCAGGCTACTACAGCCATATGTACTCGGTCTTTGGCACAGATGACTTCTACAAGTTACCTCTGGGAGGCCGCAGTGCCTGGGTTATTTCTAGCGTGTCATTGGATGTCATGAACATCATGTGGATGCGCAGAATCATCCGTGGATGTCTCAAAGTCCTTCACTCAGCCTGGTCGAGAAAAGCAGGAACTGAGATGGAAACTAGAAAGACAGACTGACATGACATGGAGATACAAACAGAAACTTAATACATGAGCACACAAACCGTCCATCTTGTATCATGTCCTATGCTGGAGTGCATATGTTTGTATTATTTCCTGCTGCCGTGACAGCAGTTTTGAGTTTCAAACCGACAAATCAAGAGCTTAGAAAGCCAGTCATTGTATTAATGACTTACATGATGTCATCTTCAAATATGGACTCAACTGGAGGAATTAAATCACAAACGCTCTTTCAGTTTGAAAAAATCAGGTGATTAAGTGGCATGAGTCTGATCAAATGTCCAATCAATAGTTGTGGTTGCACTATTTATTATAAAGCTGCTATGAAGATCAACCAACTTGCCTTTATCAATGCAATCAACAAAGCGACTGCACATCTGAACTTCCACAAGGACTCACAGTGTTTCTCTGTAGACCACAATAAACAATTTTTTGACTACAATATGAATAAGGTTATATGTAGAGAGAAATATATGATATATAGTGGAAATGTGGGTTACATGTATAGGTGAAAGTTCCTGGTTTGCAGGATTTGTACTCGAGATACCATGCATGTTTGCATATAATTAATGCATATATGGAGAGTATTATGTATGTCTGGAATGGAAAACATATCAGGTGGCACGATGTTATATAATATATGTGTTTCTATAACGTGATGCAGCCATGTACTGTATAAGCTTTTTGTAGTAGCCTATGTGGCTTGTCAGTTGGATTTGGAATAATGACAATTATGAGATGTAAGCTTCAATAAGATAAGGCTTTTCAGGTTATTTACTTCACCGTTAGGTAGGCCTATGCGGTTAAACATCAACAATGATATGACTTGAAAAAGGTAGGCCTATATGAGCTATTCCATCTTCTGGAATGAATCTCTAGTACAGTATACTGTGATGTCAAAAATGCTTATGTAATGGAATGGATGTGCGTTTCTGTGGTGTGAGAATGAATAAACTGCTCAGTTTTACACTTTACAGTGTGAGGTCACATGAGTACATCTAGCCAATTTTATGTTAGTTATTACAAAACTGTATAATTCACTGTATAATGCTGTGTTGCTCAGCTCAAGTGGTGTTAATCTCAAAATCTCAAATCTTTTAAGTAAGCAAATAATTCTTGTTCACTTCCATCCACTGGGACTGACTTGTTCAACTGAGTTCCTCTCTTTTAAAACTCTAAAAAACGAACGTGTTTCGGTCATAAACAACTTAGTGTTTTTAACAAATCAGTTCACTGAATGATTCAATTATTCACTTATAGCACTCAACCAGTCAATTGTTCCACAGGCATAATGGTATAACCTCCAGAAATATTTTAGTGATTGGATTTTACAATATTTGAGTTCCATAACTTACCAAAAACCTTTTCTTTTAAAAACGCTCTCCCCATGGTGTTTTTTTGATGCTTCAGAATATTCAGTGAGTAAAATAATATAAAAAAACGGTTATTACCATTTTAATAATTGTATTTTTAAACTAGATCATCACTTCAAATAAAATAAAAATATAATAAAAAAACTCCAATCCTCTAGGAGGCAGTATGCATCTGGATGCCTATGCGTGCCACACACACGGCGTGAAGCAATGACCCAGAGCATCTTGGGATATGAGGCATATTTCTGGTGAACGACATTGACAGTAGAGGTGTGAGGTAAGTGTTACTGTTATACTGTTATATTATCAAAGATATTTTGCGAATGTACAGTAGTTTTAACAGTGGAATTTGAACAATATTATTATATAATATACCGCCATCTGGACAGACTACATGCTTTTATCTTATGCTTGTGTAACTTATATCGTTGTATAACATGTGTTGCACAGCTTCCCAAAAGCATATTTGTAGGAAATTCTGCAGATATCAATAACATTTGATCTTGAAGTCCACGGACTGGGATAGAGAAAGGAAGACGCATATGTACAGATTTCCAATATTTATTTAAAGTTTATTTATCTCTTCTTAATTTCTAACGTAGATACTCCCCAGTGTACTTTCTTTGGCTTGATAAATGGGAATACTAGAATTATATGTTGTTATTTCTTGTATGTTGAATTTGCATTAATAATAATATTAATAAAAAATATTTATTACAAAAATGAAGACAAGGTTTGTTCTCAAAAGTCTCTGATTCAAAAAATCCTGCATGTATCATGCAAGAACACAATAGTTGAATTCAGATGTTATTAAAGCATTTTATGTATGCATGCCATGTACTGTATATATAGCCTAACAGCAGTAATATGCTAAATGTAAAGCCACTCAAAACTTACTGTGTTCTTTTTTCTTTTTTGTCTGTGAAGGTGATGGGAGACACTATATCCAGCCCTACCGGCACCGTGAAGGCAGAGGGCATCATGGTGCCACCAAAGGGCTGTCCTATGCATCAAGATGTTACTAAAAGTGAGAAGGTTACTCCAGTACTTCAGTAATTATAATAATCAGTTAACTTGAAAACTCCAGCTAACAATTATTTTCTTAATCGATTCATTTGTCCATTATATATAAAAAATCGGAATAAAAAAATCTAAGAAAGGCTCCTTATTTAAAAATAATAATAATTAATAAGTTGTAGGCAATGAAAACAATATAGTGAATGTATCTAGGCTCTAGGCTGTTCTATAAATTCTGTGCATGATTGTCATCCACCAGTCACGTTACTTTAATAATGCATTTCTATGACAAAATGCATTCAAACGTTTTTAAATTTTTAAATTTAGCTTTAACTTCTACTTTTAATACAGGTAAACAATCATTTTTTGTGTGTTTAGAACTTAGTTTATATTTTAACCCGTTTTTCCATGCACAGCGCACAGACAATATATCAGTAATTAATTTTGCTGTAGATTATTTTCATTATTGATTATGATTTTATTGATTAGTTGTTGCAGCCCTTATATACAGAAATACAGAATGTACAGATTTAATCTAAAAAAAAAATGTTCTCCTCAGTTTTCCTTCTTAACATCCCCTACAGGTGCCCCTCCGCCAGAATGTCCAATGCATCAGGTGTCTGCTCCTTCTAGCGATCAGCTTGAGAAAGCGCCTGATGTACCGACACATCAGGCCAGGGCTTATGAATTTGTAGAGTGCCCTATGAGAGCTGCTGACAGGGCTAAACCCACGATGTCTGACATTAATCCAGCAAACATGGTACTTTGCCCCTCTGAAATATGTTACCTGGATGTTTAGAGGTACTGAGACTCCTTTCTACCTCTCAGCCTTATTTTTTGTTCTCTATAGATGCCACCTCCTAACCAGCAACCTACACCTGGTCAACCGTTTCCCCTGTCTGTTAAAAGAGAGGAATCTACCATCCCTCGTGGTGGGTCTGATCAGAACTGGGTTTATCCCTCAGAGCAGATGTTCTGGAATGCCATGCTGAGAAAAGGGTGAGTTCCTGATGGAGAAAAAGCAATGTACATCAAATTAGCATCATCACCTTCATTGCTTATGACTTAAACTTCCACCAGATGGCGCTGGAACAAAGATGATATCAAAGAAAAAGATATGACAAACATCATCAGGATTCACAACCAGAATAATGAGCATGCCTGGCAGGAAATCCTGAGATGGGAAAAGCTCCATTCCAAGTAGGTCACATGTTCAAGGCAGCTGTGTATCCTCAGATGTCACCGAGTAGGAGATTCCTGATGTTCTGCTGTTGTTCTCCACAGAGAATGTCCATGTGGACCTTCTCTTCTAAGGTTTGGTGGCAAAGCAAAAGACTTTTCACCCAGAGCCAGATTTCGCCACTGGATGGGGTAAGTAATGGTATCACCTAAACACAGGGGGTTTCAAACTGGTGTCCATGGGGCCACTAGGGAGTGCTGGGGGGACAAATAAAATGTACGAAAATTAATTAAATTAGATTAGGGTTGGATTTATATTTGATTACAATAAATAAATAAAACTAAAAACAATTTAATTAAAATAAAATAAATAATAATTTAAATAGAACTAATAAAAAATAGGAAAAGCAAGCAGTGTAAAAAGAAATAAATACAAATAGGATTAAACTAAATAAATTGAATCCAAAAAAAAAAATATGAAATGAAATTTGATTTAAATAAATAGATAATCAATTAATACATTTAATTCAAAATAACTTGATAAAAATAGATAAAATCCATATAAAACTTCAATGTTGTATATTCATAAATAACTCTGGAAAATTTCAATGTTGAAATGTCAATGTTATCATCAGATATAATAAGGTGCTTTTGGTCCTGTGTTGTAGGCATGAGCTACCGTTTGACAGGCATGACTGGATTATTGACCGGTGTGGAAAAGATGTCAGATATGTGATAGACTACTACGATGGAGGCCAGGTGTCTAAGCATACCATCCTTGACGTGCGTCCTGCCTTCGATTCCTTAGGAGCCGTTTGGGACCGGATGAAAGTGGCCTGGTGGCGTTGGACCTCCACATGAATATTCTCCACACTGAGTCTTGACTCTTGTGTGATCTATTCTATAGGATATAAAAGAACTCATATTTATATAACATTTTTTTTTTTTGTGCAAATGGAATCAGATTGACCTCCTTATTTTTCTGTCATAAATTTGTTATGATATGTGCGAAGAATGCTACAGTGGCACTGTGTGGGTTTGCAGACATACGGTATCATACATTGTACTTTGTTATTCTAATTAAAGAGGATATAGCAAAAAAAAAGTAGTCTGGCATTCTGGCGTGCAAATATTCTGTTTTATGAATAATAAAACCAGCTACTGTGTAAATACTCTGATACATACCTTGTAGTTCTTCTTCATTTACTGATGTTTTCTTGCTTATCAATTGTATTTATTTCTGCCATAAAGTCAGTTATTAAAGGAATCTATTATAATGTTAATTGAAATGCTCTCTTGCTGTGTTTTTTTTTTATTTTATTTAGTACTGACGTGATGTTCAAAACAAAATAAGAAGGTGAAATATTTCAATCTACAGAACATATTTATAAATACTTTGCTTAGATGTTATCAAACAAGAGCATCATTTATAGCCATACTGCTTTATGGTGGACAATTTCATTTTCTTTAAATATTATCATTTGTATTTGATTGCAATTTTGTGCAGCGCTGCTATAAAATAAAATGACCCATTAACAAGTATTTATTAGCAGTTTCAATCTACGTATATCTATGTTGTAGGCCTAAATTATAACAATATGTCAGTCGGAACTGGTGTTCTGTTCTAGTGTTTCTGCACGGAATATAACCGTGTAGGTCAAAAACAATCCGGTAGTAACTTACTGTCTATGGTTAGTAACTGTTAGCAATCTACACACTTTAATAATTCATAATGTGGCATTTCGCACGACTGCAAACATGTCAAAAGTAGCGTTTGATGAAATGTCAGTTTTATCCGCCATATACTGCGAGCAGGGCGAATTCGAGGTGTTGGAAAAGTCACGTGAGTTCTTCTGAATGCATTTTATAGTATTACTAACTGTAACTTAATTACCCGTATTTTTTTTCTTTATTGAACATAAAATGTAATGACCATGTTAACCCATGTTTCCACCAAATACCATAGTTACTGTTAATGTTGTTTTTTTGCAGTAAAGCTGTAACTTGGTAGCCTAAATACTTGGTAATTAAAATAATACTAAAAGATTCTGAAAGCCAGGCTCTGATGCACTTTAAATGAGATCCACATTCATTATTATAATGGATATTATAAGTAGCAATAATATCTGTTGTAACTATAGTCTTTTGATATTAAATAATAAGTTGGGACCATGAATTCAGAATCAGTTATATGGGGTTAGAACCGTTCCTTATTGATAAATAAATTATGATCCACACAATAAATGTTTAGACATTAACACAAATTCACCAATAAATAAAATGAGATACAGTTGTTTCACAAAAATCTATTAAATTCACACAACAAAAAAGAAAATATAAATAAATAACAAATAAATTAGGTGGACTCCGCCCACCCACCATCTATTCAAGCCAATCAGATAATGGCTACATTGTGCTGATCAATTGTAGCACAATCCAAAAAATGGTAAAATATCTTTTATTTGCTAATCTAATCTTTTTTTTTTTTAATCCTAACATTTATGTTGTGGATCTGATTCTATTTATCTGTGAATAAGTTTAATTTTGTTAATCTCATTACATTTATTTGCGGATCATTGTCTATTTATCTGAAATATATGAATACAACATAAATGTATTCCTGTTGCAATTTCATTTTTAAATGCAGCTGAGAGGGGAATCGTGTACCGCATACAAGCACTGATAGAGAGGGACAACGAGAAGACTCCGCTAGGCCTTATTTTCCACATCTCTCCCAACTACCCCCACACTCCTCCAGATATCAGCATCAGTTCCAGCCACTTATCGAGGAAAGAGTGTCATGACCTGAGACAGCAATTACTGGACACAGCACGATCACTTCCACCAGAGCCCATGATCCATGGCTTAATGCTATGGCTTCAGGAAAACTTCTCTGACTTGATCAAAACATCAAGCTGCCTTTCAGCAGAGGCTAGAGCAGAAACGACAGAAGAAACATGGACTGCTTTACTACATTTAGATCACATGAGATCCAAAGCAAAATACATAAAACTGATTAAAACATGGGCTTCAGAGCTGCATCTCACTGGAAGACTCTTTACGGGCAAACCAATACTGATTCTCCTGCAAGGAACGAAGGAAAATATTAAAGTATGACTCCAAAATCATAGTATGAACACTTATTGTTATTTTCCCAAACATTTGATTCAATAACATATTATACATGCCATCACTAAATGTTCTGGACATCTTTATAGCATATACTTTCCTGATTTTTCCTTTCCTGATTCCTGACTAAAAGTTTTTTTTGACGTAAGAATATACATTTTGACTCTCTATAGGAATACATACACCTTCAGAAGACTGTAAAAGTTGATGTTGATTCTTCAGGGAAACGCTGCAAGGAAAAGATGATGAGCGTCCTTTGTGAGATTCCACAACCAGAGGAGAGGAGAATGTAAGCATATACAATGCATACACTTTTGTGTGATATATTGCTATATATACACTTCACTGGCCATTGTTTAAATATCACAGCTGGCTTTTTCATTATTTAGGATGTCTACATTTGAAGTGAGAGATGTTTTATCACTTGATGACCTCAAAAGGGAGTTTGATCTTGTTGGACTAACTGAGCTTTATGACCAGTTTGTGCCCTCATTCATCTGACAGGACAGCTGCTGTGTTAACGCACACTCTTTGTGTAACACACACTCTCTCCACTGGGTGGGGCCGCACTCCACAACTCTGATGGATTCCCATAATAAAACACGTCATGCAATTGTCTTTAATAGCTTATAATGAAAAATATGCTGTTTTATAATATTCCCAGTTAAACTGTTTATGACTATATGTCAGTGCCAGGTCTAAAATACAGGACATGTATCCTTACGGAGTTGGACTGGTAAAAATGTTCATAAATTGCAGGAAATTGTAAACACAAGCTCAAAACAACAACGTCAAAATAAAAAAGGGTAGTGAAACTATTTACTGTTGTCATCCTTGAAGTGTTATGTACATAATTAATTTAAACTTAAATTGTATTAACCCTTTTATGCATGAATAATGATAACCACAGTCAGATACAGTACAACTCTGTTGAAAATGCTCATGCTTCCTCCAGTCTATAGAGTACAATGATTTACTCTTATTTCTAATTATACCTGATTATGTTCAAAATTTACAAATATAGCTCTTCTCTCGTGAAAAACTGACTGAAATCTACTTTGATCGATTGATTTTTTCAGACTGGAAAAATGAGCGATCAAGTGTTTTCAAATCTCATCTGAAATGTGCAGTGTTGGGTGTATGCATTAGAAGCATTACGTAATCAGATTACTTTTTTGATGTAACAAGTAAAGTAACATTACAAATAACATGCATTATTTCATTAGATTACTTTTTAATGTTACGAGTGACGTAACACATTACAAGTAACATTCATTATGTAATCAGATTAGTTTTTTGATGTTATGAGTAATAATTGGATTACATTTATATAAAATTTTTTAATGGCACTCAAAGCGCTTTACATGGAAAAGGGGAATCTCCTCAACCACCACCAATGTGCAGCATCCACAGATGATGCAAAAGCAGCCATAGTGTGCCAGAACGCACACCACACACCGATAAAGTAACAAAGTACACGTAAAATGCATTACGTAATCAGATTTTTTTTGATGTTACGAAAAAATTACAAGTAACATGCATTACGTAATCAGATTATGTTTTAATGTTACGAGTAAAGTAACACATTACAAGTAACATGCATTGCGTAATCAGATTATGTTGTTACGAGTAAAGTAATACAAGTAACGTTTTTGACATAACTGCAAATTACAATCTAATAACATAATTACATTTATTTACAGCTAAAAAACGACTGCATGAAGTATTTTCAAGAAAAAAACATGAATAGTATGAATTAAAGTATACAGCTATAGCGATGCATGATGTCCAAGTTAGTGGACAGTAAAATCAATGTAAAATGAATACTTAGAAAGGTGAACAATGATATGACATGAAAGGGTTAAATTTTTATATGCACATATATTGCAAATTAATATATTTACATATAAAGGAAATTAATATATGTAAATATATCCAAATAAAATATATTTACATATAAAGAAACCTAATATGTTAACAAATATTAGAAATTAATACATACACATATATTGCAAATTAATATATTTACATATAAAATATAGAAATATATGTAAACATTTGCAATAAAAAAATATTTAAATATGTGAAAAATATTAAAATCAAATATTTAAATATATTTTTAATATATATTTCAAAATATATTTACATATAAATATAACATATATTTTAATCTATTTAGATTTAAGACATTGAAATATATGTGAGTTCTGAATGGGAACAAACATACAAAGTTTTCATCGTAATGTTGAGAATAGAACTCAGTGCGTTTCTTTAAAACAATTAAAACAAAGTAAATCTTTGTTGAGTGGTTGATGTGAAGATACTCTTTAAATTAAACTTGTAAATTGAATTCGGCACACTCACTGACCTTTACAGACAGCTTTTGTGCTTCAAACAAATTAAGTCTTCAAATTAACTCTTCTTTTATTTCATGTGTATTTTTCTACAGGTTAATAAGCACTCTATTTTTATAAGAGATTGTTTTTTAAACATCAACTTCAATTAGGCAAAAGGTAGGAAGCAATTCTGTTTTTAGCTCTGTGTTTCACTCCCACATCCACACGTTGCATATAGCTAGCTGTCATATTATGTTTACCTAATACACATTGTGCAGACAGCTGCTGCCTAGGAGGGTCCAGGAGCAATAGACATGAAATTTCTTTTTTTAAACATAATTAACAAGGCTTAATGAAAATCACCTCCTCGCCCTTTACAATGATCCACTCTGAACTATAAATTCACCTTGCCTGACCTTTTCCCTGACATGTTCTTACAAAACAACACTGCTTGTTAAATGTCATCCACTCAGTGGCATTTACTTGTATAAAACAGGGCTTTGATCCAGAGGAGAAGCACACTTTCCTACCTTTACTAGGCCACGAGGCCACGCTCGGCGACCCCTTGCGCCTGCTACCTGTTGAACATTTTAATTACGGCCCATTAAAATGTACAAAGGTTAGATTGAACCTAAAATGTATTGCCCGAATGACATTTTAATTTGGCAAATTAACGCAACATCTATGACATTTGTTCCTTGCTTTACCAACTAAAAGCGGCCATCTGGAATTCCATCCGACTGCTGAAGATTGCCTAAATCAATGCAGAAGCACGACTGAGACGAACCGCGGCGGCCCGCCGTGTCCAACTCTATCCAGGTCGA